ACAAAAGATTTCATTTTTTCACTCGATCCAATTCTTGGATATCATATTAAACCAAATATTTCACTTCATCGACAACCATTTATTGTCAAATTCAGTATTATTATTACTACAATTATGTTTATTTCAGAATTAATTCTGGGTTCATTGTCTATAGAAACATTTCGAGTGAAAAAAACAAGAGAAGTTGGTTGTGGTTATTATCTTTTTGTATCATCGATTAGTTCAATGTGTATGATTATTGTATTAACAATTAAATTTTGGCAACTTGTTCTTTCACAAATGTCCATCATAACTAATGAATCAATACTCTTTATTAATTGTATTTTAATTGAAATAATTCTTAAATCTTGTTTAGCATCAAGTGAATGGCTTAATGCTTGTGTATCTATGGAAAGAATGTTTAGTGTCATTCAAGGTATCACATTTAACAAAATTAAAAGTAAGATAATGGCTAAACGAGTGATTTTTGTTGTTATTATCTTAACAATACTTACACATATTCATGATCCACTTCGTCGACGATTGATTAAAGATTTAGATGGAGAGCAACAACGAACATGGTGTTTATCTCAATATTCATATAGAGTAACTAAATACAACAGATTTATTACTCTCTTTCATTTTCTAGGTCCTTTCTCAATTAATTTGATATCTGCTTTCGTACTTATTATAGTAGCAGCTTATAGTCGTTCTAAAGTAGAATCGAAACTATCATTCATACAACATTTACAATCAAAACTTAAACAACACAAAAAGATTATTATTGTACCTATTATTTTTTTATTATTAAGTGTGCCACGTCTTATTATTTCATTCATATTGGGATGTATGAGATCACCTCATCAATCTTGGCTATATCTTATTGGCTATTTTCTATCATTTATACCATCAATGTTAATATTGTTTGTGTTTATTTTACCATCAAAAACTTACAAAAATGAATTAGATAAATCAATACAACGATGGATTAAACGATTTTGTCGACGATCTTGATCTATTTATATAACATTCTAATAGACAAATGTTCTAATTGACCTTGCTTCTATTTTATTTTTCAGTATTGCAGACATATTCTTAACTATTCTTCGCTTTCTTTTTATCCGTCGTGCATACTTTTCAAAGTCACTACAATAAAAATTTGAAATAATTGACTTAGCTAGATTTTAATTGTTTCATCAAATTATCCCATGATTGTTTTTTTTTTCATTTAAAGATAAATCAAAACTATGCTTGTTGATTCTTATGTTTTAATCTTATGACTAAAATAACAAATTACAATATTCTCTGATTACTCGCACAAAACAAGATATCAAGAGAAAACAAAAAAAAATACACTAATATATTCTTGAAAGGATGCAACTATTTAAAAACTTTTTCTTTTTTTGACCAAGGGTACGTTAACTAATAGTTGAACTTGTCAATTATCTGTTTTATTGAGAGTTAGATGTGGTTAGTAGCTAGATGTGAGAGTCTTGTCTACTGTCGTATCCATACACGAGGTCCACTCTTATCCCATATTCACTCTCTCTGAAAACTCAAGCATCATTGTTTTATAAGAATTCAGTTTTGAAAAGAAGTATGGCTAACAGTAGAAGATCCTGAAAATATCAAAATCAATACATGCTATTTTTCGAAGAATGGGAGGTATTGGACATGAGAGTGTGAGAATGCAGAAAAGAAAGAAGAATTACACATCGTTGACGACAACAGCTGCAAGCATATGAATAGTTAGAACTCAATCTATTAGTTTATCAATTCCTAAAAACTAGTATTTTATATTTCAACATGCATAAACCAAATATTGTTGGCGCTTTGTATATTATTTGATCGGGTGTGAGTGCGGATGGGTATGGGTGCATTCTATCCAGGGAAAAATGCTGATCCTGGGTCTCCGAGTCACAACAGATCCTGGTGAATCCAGCAAGCTCTACTAGAAGCCACTAGGATCTGTTTTTTCGCTTGCTCTAGTGTATACGAAAACAACCTGACAAAACGATAATCGTGCAAATTATTTGTAGTACTTAGAAGAATAACGTAAACTGAATGACCGTGTGATACCTATTTTTTGCGACTATGTAAAGAGTTAACAAAGAAAAATAAATATCATAATTTATCTTCGAATGAATTGAATGTTCATTTAGGAAGTTATGATATTATCATCGAATTAAGTCATAGAAGTTGCTTGTCCTTTGATACAACCAGTTGCTCAAATAGTAGTTGTGATGAGAACGTCTATATTTGTTGCAATCATTGTTGATGAATACCATATTTCAAATATTTTTTGTCGTCTGTTATTTGCATTGAGGATGTAGATGTGGGTGAGGGTGTGGATGTGGGTGTTGATGCAAAAGACGAGAAAAAGCAAAACTTACATCCACATCCACACCCACACCCTAATCTATTAAAAATTTCTTTTTCTGTGGATATGTACACACATGCATGAATTGTCTTTCATGTTTGTTACTCTTTTCTCTTGATTCTTGCTTCAGCTGATAGTTTAGCCTATAGGAGTATCTCATATGACAATTTCT